TCTCACTTTTTTGTCTAAAGTAAATGTCGAGGAACCTAGTGAACTTGTGAGCGACTTATCTCTGAGTTCAAATAATACAAGTTGTAGACTCAAAAAGGGTTAGCTACCCTTTATGTCACTCAAAATAAGATGAACAATTGGCCCCTTTCTTGGGGTTACAACAATGTCTCCACTTGGGCTTAAACTCAGAATACGAAATAAGAACTAAATTAGAAATATCTAAGAGACAGCCGAAGCTAAGACAAATCTAACGTAGTTGGCCTTTAATTTAAATTAGCCGGGGAATATTAAATGACGCGTAATATACTGCCAAGCGTTAGCATCTTCAAGAGAGATTTAGTTCGAAGGCAAACAAGCGCTATTAAGGATTCCTGGCTCTCTCTCATGAAGTTCTAGGTTCCAAATTCCAATAGTCGCTTTGATTAACATGCTAAATGCATGTTGTTTTCCGGCTATCTTGATGTATTTGCCTCAGCGGGTACTGGAAGTAGGGTTATTACTTAATCATTAATGCCAAGAGAACAGCTAGGATGGATGAGGGGTGAGTAATTGATATATAAAACAGTCTTATAACAGTCCTAATGGCTATGCAGATTAATTTTGATAACAATAATGATGACAGCATATCAAATCATGATCGCGTGTATCACGCAATTTGAATTGAATTCATCCAAAAGTGCAGAACAAACTACTTTACAGTGAAATAAATAATAAATGAAGATACGAGATTTTATCATAGGTGCTAAAGTTCAGTATCAGGAGCTACAAAGCACAAAGAGTAGAGGTATGGGTCACATGGGTAGTCACCCAACCCAGTGCAGTAATTAAAGAATCCCGCTGGAATATGCAGGAACTATGAAAATAAAATACATTTATACAAACTAATGTCATAAACTGTACAAGAATCTTCATAAGTTAAGTGGGAAAGTCCTGGTTTTCACTGGGAATGAAGGCTGCATGAGGGCGAAGCTAACTCTCACGAAGTAAGTGGACCTTCCTTATAAACTACTTCTAACTTATTTGCATTCAACACGATTCTAAAAACTCATTCTGGTAGATTTGTAAGTGGAAACAAAAATCCATAGGAAAGCACATTGAAATTAAAATAATTGTTTTAAATTAAAATATACCTTACACCATAACAACCAGCTCGGCCAACTACCTAGGTTCGAACCTAGGTCGAACTCCCAGTATTCAGCAGTCTCAGCTGCTTCTCTACTGATGAGGCGCATTATCAAATTAATATTCATATTCTAGAGAAAACTGGGTACTTTCCCATTCATAATTTTCGACAAAAAAAAAAAAAAAACTATAGCAAAACGGTGGGATTTGTTCAAGTAGCAAATGTAGAGACATTAGGTACATTTTTGGAAGCAGGCAAGATGAAAATATTGCAACCGCCTTCGCCGTGAATCGAACCACGGACCTCTGGAATGCCGGCCCAGCTTGCAGAACCACTACATCACGAAGGCGGGAGAAATACTTTATATACTCCCCCTTCTGCTGGGAACGAAGTTCACTGTTCCACCATTGTATATTATTAAGCTTTTTGGCATGGCGTTGTGGTAAAAGATCATTACAGATTTGTTGAAGACCCTTCTGTAGAACAACCGTGAAATTCTCCAAATCAGCGCGAGTATTGGCTGAAGAAAGTTGACCATCGAGATCATTTACTAATGCTTTCACACGATCAGTAAAGGCACGTATCCGTTTCCCTGGCAGATTGTAGCGTCGAATAATTTGAATGGTTGTAGGCTGAGCTATTGTAAATGTAATATAGCGATGGTCGCTAAGACTTATTTCATCTTCAACTGTCCAGTTCTGGAGGAGAGAAGCCGCAGAAGTGGAACAATACAAATAGTAACAGATCCGGCCATCCACGTGAATGTATTCTGTCGAAGGTTGGAAGGGCATCAATTGAGTTATGCAGAATTAAATAAGATGATGTGCTGATAGAAAATCCTCCAAAGAATGGCCTTTTTCATCCGTTGAAGCATAACCCCAAGTTGTATTATGGGCGTTATAATCACCCACAATAAACTGAAGAGGGATTTTAATGCGCTGTAGAGTAGTTGATAGAAAAGTCAATGAAGGAAGAATGGACTCGGATGGAGATGAATATTGTGAAATAAAAAGCATGGAGGTTTCCTGTACATAAAGAAGAATGGCTACATTGTCCCTATTAGCTGCGACGACTGTCGGTTTCCAATCCTTGTTGCAATTGATAATGATGGCCCTGGGTGATTTCTCAAAATCGCCTGCTTGAAAGATAGACCACTGAAGCGGGAAACCCACAGCAAGTCCGTCCTTAATATAAGGCTCCTGAACAAAGATGAGATCAGCCTCACGTTCTACTGCGTAATGCGTAAGTTGAGCAACAGCAGCCTTAGCGTGTTGAAGATTGATCTGTATACATTTAATTGAAAGTCCACTGCGGATAAAATCCATGTTTATAGTATCAGCCGATGCATTTCCAATAGAAGGCAAGGACTGATTATTAGTACTCATAGTTTGTCTTATCTCGGATGGATTGCACACGACGTTGGTACTGGATACAGGCTGAGTCGTAGGCAGGATGGTCGTAGTCGAAACCAGTTCCGAATCGAGCATTGGCATCACTGCAGTTGATACACAGTGGATTTTGCGCTGTACAGTCCCGAATGCCGTGCTCCTCAGCACAGTAGGAACAAAAATTGTTTTCGACTCTTGCAGTTGGCTTGTAGATGACCGAACTGCTGGCATCGGAAGCATCTGCTAATTCCAATGTGTTCCGAGACTCTATGTGCCTGCCAGCCGAGGAAGATCTTGTGTTGTTGCATGAGTGCACAGAAGCCTCGGGGCTCGCACTCAAAGATCCACTTAACGTGCCCTTTACGGCGCTCTCTAAGTCGATGGAGAAGCTTGAAGATGTTACTGGGCATGCCAGTGGCACCACTGATTTCGGCAACGACATCCTCTGGCTTGATGGATTCGGGCAGGTCATGAACTGCGCATCGAGGTCTGTGCCGGCGGGGACGGCTAATCTCCGCTGGGATGTCCTGGTTTTGGATTTCTTTTTCAAGGACATTGGCGTCATCATTAGAGTTACACACCACCTCTAAACCACCTCGACGGGTTTTAATAATTCTCTCAATGCCTACCTTAAGTTTTGAGAGAGGAACTTTAGCATTTAATTCAGCTTTGAGCTCAACTTCTGAGACATGCGCTTTGGGATTAATATATATACGAGGCTTGTTATGTTTTCTAGCAATCTCCGCAAAAGTAGGTATTGGAGGAGCAGGCAAAGATGTAGACGCCGGTAAATCACTTAGCAAAGGAACAGAAGGAAGTGATGGCGAGGAATGAGCTAATTCGCAACAAAGTACTGTGGAGGTGTTAACACCAATATCAACCTTGGCGGGCTTTAATACACATTCAGGACCCGCTGAAGCAAGAGTTTGTAAAGCAGTAAGAGAATTTAAGAGTCTAGTGCGTAAATCCGTGGGCAGCGAAAAATTTTGAACTTCGTTTAGTAGTTGCAATTCTTCGAATGTCGTCACACAGTGCAGCAGTAATTTTATCAGTATGAGGTAAATCAGATGCCAATACTAATGTAGGATCAAGTCCATTTCTGGATGTGCTGAATCATCGTCAATCGGGAGAACTGATTGACAGGACATATTTCAAAGAAGAATTCTGTAAATGCTTAAAGTACTCGATGACTGAACAATTGTAAAGGTGGCAGACTGTACTTAATAACCTAACAATGTTGGGTGCACTCCAAAACTTGTAATAAACTTGGTCGTTAAACTTCTCTGTTTTTCATCTGTTTTAAAACTTGCTGTAATCCAAAAGCTGTTATATTCAGGTGTTACACACTGAGCGCACACTAAGATACTCTGACTCATATCTTGGATACTGTTTTTGGACCGTCTGATCTCTATGAGGGTACTTCCCATCACTCATCGATATCTGAAGAAGAGCTCTCATCCACTGCGTCTCCGGACAAAGAAATTACTTTAAAGGAATTAAAATTCATTGTTTCCCATTTGCCGAAACGGAAAGCTCCAGGCCCGGATGGCATTGACTATGCCATCGTCAAAACTGCTATCTTGGCCTCACCAGTATTTTTTGTTATATTTTTCAACAAGTTATTGGCAACTGGTACTTTTCCTAGGTCTTTTAAAATAGGCCAGGTTGTCTTGTTTTTAAAGAAGGATAGAAACCCGACTGAGGCTACTTCATTTCGACCCATTTGCCTACTTCCAGCGCTTGGGAAAATTTTTGAAAAGATACTGATGAGTCGTCTGCGTTTTCATCTACATCAGCACCAAATTATTAGTTCTCAACAATATGGCTTTCGGCCCGGTTCATCTACATTACATGCACTGCATGATATCACACAAGACATCCTGAATAATAAATTCTCTGGCTACCACACCGCATTAGTCAGCTTAGATCTTAAAAGCGCATTCGACAGTTTGTGGTGGGTAGCTATTAAGCAAGCTCTGGTAAACTCCAATTGTCCGAGTAATATTTATAAAGTTTTAGAACACTATTTGCAAGACAGACGTCTTATTGCAGTACATCCAGCGGGAATTATCGAAAAAGTACAGACAAGAGGATGCCCGCAAGGTTCTTGCGCAGGTCCTCAACTCTGGAACCTCACTTTTAATAAGATCCTTCAAGCTCCCTGGCCTGATCATACGCATATATATGCGTATGCCGATGATGTGGCTCTTGTTATCCGGGGACATTCTCGCGAAGTTTTACAGCAAAATTGCAATGAGTCTCTTCAACTCTTTCAACAGCATTGTGATGATCTGAAATTGATTATTGCTGAAAACAAATCCAAGGTACTTCTTGTACCTAAGAAAGGAGGTTCCTTGGTCAGGCGACCAAGAATTGTCCTCAATAGCCACAGGTTGCAAATCCTTAGAGAAATCAAATATTTGGGAGTTATCATTGATGATAAGTTAACCTGGATCCCACATATTCTGTCCATTAAAAAACGAACACAGATGATTGCCAAACAGCTTCGTTATCTTCAGGGATATCGATGGGGATTAAACCCCCATATCCAAAAAATTCTATATACTACTGTCACAGAAAAGATTGTTACTTACGCCGCTGCTGTTTGGGCACTCCCCATGCAGGGAGAGAAAAGTCAAACATCTTTCAACCATCCAACGCCCTTTTGCCCTGAGTATAACTCGGGCATATATTACAACTTCTTCGGACTCACTAAATGTTCTAGCCGGTCTACTCCCTCTTCATATTAGAACTGAGGAAGAGGCTGTTCGTCAGTTACTTGTGCAACTACGCAGGCCTATCACATTTGATGGAGAACATTATTTGCCTGATGACTATGAAGCAAAACTGAAACCTTTTAGTATTCATCCAGCAGACTATGGGGTTGGAGTTAGGCTCCATATTCCACCATCAGTGTTTCATAATTCTTCAAGCCACGTGATATATATTGATGGATCAAAGATAGATGATAACGTAGGAAGCGCTTTTGTTGCTTTTCGTGATAATCTTCCTCTAGCCCACTGGAAGGGACATTTATCTATGCAGAATAGTGTTTTTCAAGGGGAAGCAGTGGCGATAGCACGCGCTATCCGCTACTTGCTGACTCAGAATATAACACAAGCGACAATCAATTCTGATAGCCTTTCTGTCATCCACGCCATTGGCAATCCTGAGCATTCCTCTCCAATTATACGAGACATTCAACAGGACTTACGTGCTTCTCCGTCTTTCACTATTCATATTGCTTGGGTTAAAGCGCATGTGGGAGAATATGGTAACGAACTTGCAGATGCCTATGCCAAGGAGGCGGCTTCTGGTGATGCTGATGAGAATATATCCATTCCTTGGCCACATTCTTTTCTCAAGCGAACTTTACGTCTTCGAGCAATTAGTAAGTGGCAAGAGGAATGGGACAATAGCTTCACCGGTCGACGACGTACTTTCTATCATCTTTCATATGTGTCGACAGATCGCTGCTGTGGCAATGCCCATCTTTCCCGTTACATTTCGGGGCATGGACCTTTTCCTGAATTCTTCGCACGCTTTGGCATTAGTGATACCAATGTCTGCAGTGCAGTTGTGGTGAACTCGGCTCTCCGGAGCACTATTTAGCCAATGTCCCCTGACAGAAGGCCTACACATACGATTTCCTACGCAAAATCGTCAGGCATTTTGCAAACTCTTAGTTAAGCAAAGACACCTGATCCGCAAACTAAATTGCGTAATGGAGAAAGTCTCCAGCATTGGGCTTGACCTATGTCAATTTTAATCTAAATGGTTTTCAGCTATATTTCTATAGAAATATATTATTAACCATGTACTATCTGCTTTTTGTAGCTAGACTGTTAATAACAAATGAAATGTAAGTTTGACTGCATCACGTTAGTTTGAGTGTATCGAACTCCATCTATCACCTTTTCAGGTTTGTTAGAAATTTTTATTTTTATTTTTATTTATCTATTTATATACATATATATATATATTTAAGCTATGCCTTTACATAGTTCTCACGTTGGTTTGATTGTACTGTTACTCTTCTATCGATAGTATGCTTTTCTTATTAAGTTGATTGTCTATAAGACAATCATTATCTTAATCATTGTATCATGCTTACAAGTATCTTCATTCAGTATAGTATTATTAGTAAATTATGTTGGTATGTTCTATTGTAATGTATAGTGAGCCTTTGTACTATAACAGAAATTGTAAATGTTTATTTGATGGCATCATGTTAATCTAATTACATTGAAATCTGTCTCATGTTGTAAGAATCTGTCTACTTTTTATTTAGTACAACAATTTCAATATCATTGTTTCTTGTCTCATGTTAGCTAGTTTCATTCTTAAGTCAGCAAGTATAGGCATTATCAGTAAATAATTCTAGTCGGATCTGCAAATATCGCATTCAGTCAGTAAAATAGTTCTGTCGGTACTATAGTTATTGTTGACAATATGGATAGTTTCAGTCAGCAAGTATAGCTTTTTCCGCAAATTCTTTATTTTGTATGCAAACTTTCTGTCTTTGTATATGTTTTTGTTTTAACTATTGCATATTTGAGCCTAGTATTTTTACAGATGACTTGTTTGTTTGTTCCGTACTCTCCTACTGTTCATATGCATATTTTTTTTTTTTACCTTCCAAACTGTGTATCATTGCAAATTATGTATTCATTTCAATTATGTATCATTGCAAATTTTGTATTCATTTCAAATTATGTATCTGTTTGCTAATATCAATAAACGACTGGGATCACGTAGTGGGGAGACGGCGCTAAACCAATTAACCAAATGGTAAAGGCGTGGTGCCCGTCTTCCCCGTTCCTAAATCCTAAATCCTAAATCCTATATACTCCCCCTTTTAAAGGGCGACTGGAGTTTTTAGGGGACCCAATCGCCAAATCCTGGCTGTGGAGAATACTCATCCAACACCCTTTTAGTTCGAGCGCCACTGTAGAAAGATATTTTGGAAAAGCCGGAGAGATGAAAAATTTGCAAGCGCCATCGCCGGGAATCGAACCACGGACCTCTGGATCCCGGCCCAGCGTGCAGAAGCACTTCATCACGAAGGCACTGTAGGAAGGCGGGAGAAATACCTTATATAGATAGGCACGACTTTTTACCACAATCATATCATCTTAGCTCTGATTTGATGTAACCCCAATCAGCTTCAGTAAACTAGTTTAATTTTAGTAAAAAGAAGAAAATAATTTAGCTGCGGTTGTTTTTAAACTTGTTTGTTGTTTAAGCTGCAAGCTGTATACCAGCAATCTTCGTTTTGTTGCTTCATGTAGCGATGCAAGGAGAGAAATGTCCAAGTGAGTCCTCGATACAAGATATAATACATAAAATAAAAATTTTCTCATAAACTGGAAGACTATATACACAATATTTACAACCATTTGCTTTGCATTAAATGAGTGACGACGATGAAGTCAAAATCATGCTATAAACACATATTCAAGAGAGGTTTTGTACAGAGCACACATGCGATAGCATAATAAAGCTTTATGTAGGAAAATTTTGGTTATCGCTAAGCATGAAAGCCGCAAAAGGAATGGCGGTCTTTATGAAAAATCTCGGCTTACATTATGGACAGAAAAATACACACAGTGTCTCACAAAAGTGATGGGACACTTGTGCTTTACAAAATAAACTGTAATAAGATATATTAAAAAACATGTAAAAATTTTTTGTGGCTGTGTTTCATACTTAAATTTAGTAACAATTATTACATAACATACATTTTCTCAAAATATTAAAATATTAATTTAATAAAAATACAATTGTTTAGAACGGAGCAAAAAATGGCTCACATAAGTGATGGGACCACCATTAGATACTACTACGTACTACAGTAAAATATTTTTGGGTTTTTTATTTTTACTTAAAAGCAATTGGCAATAATTTATAAAATCGTCTAGAGTATATTTCTCTCCAGTTTGTTTTGGAATTTTGTGTTTTTTAGCTCTGTGCAGCCATGAATGCTAAACGAAAAGAAACTTTGCCTGAAATTCGAAAATTAGTTATTAATTTGCATATTGACGTAGAAAATCTATTAAAGAAACTGCTGAAACAGTTGAGTCATTCAACAGTTTTCAATATCATTAAACGATATAAAAAGAATCATATGATTCAGGATAAAAGAAGACCTGGCCGACCATCAAAGCTATCCAATGGAATAAAGCGAATTATCATTCGAAATATTAAAATAAAATCCAAGAATGAGTGCTCCTAAAGTTGCTGCCTGATTTACAAGCATTATATGGAGTAATTGTTAATTCTGAGACTATTAGAAGAGTAATTCGATCTGCTGGATATCACGGTAGAGCAGCCATGAAAAAATTCTTCGTAAGTGAAAAAAATAGAAAACTCAGACTGGCTTTCGCAAAATTCAACATAAATATGAATTCTGATTACTGGAATGAAGTTATATTTGCTGATGACAGCAAATTTAATAATATTTGGTTTCTGACGGTAGAATCTTGGTGTAAACCCAGGAAAACCCAGGGAAGAGTTTCGCAAACAGAACTTGGTGCCAACAGTAAAAGATGGTGGAAGGAGGAGTTATGGTATGAGGAGTGTATGTCGTCTGCTGGAGTTGGTAATCTTTATTGACAGTTTTTATTGACATTTATTTATGATTTAATGATTTATTTGATTTTATTGACAGTCTAATGAATCAGGACAAGTATATTGACGTTTTAAATCAAAATTTTAAAATCTTCAGCACGAAAGTTTGACCCTTCATAACGATATTAAATTCTACCAGGAACAATGACCCTCAAGCACATTGCTTTGAACGTTAGACTTTGGCTGCTGTATAACCTGTCCTGAAATAATAAAAACACCACCACAATCTCCATACTTAAATCCCATAGAGAATATTTGGCAAGAATTGGAATTAAGAATTCGCAAACACACCATTTCTTCAAAACAACAATTGAAATCGGTGCTTCAAGAAGAATGGGGTAAAATCACTCGAGAAATCACAAAAACATTAGTCGAATCCATCCCAAGAAGATTAAATCATGTTTTAAAAGTAAAAGGAAATCCAACAAAATATTAAAACCTTTTAAGAAGTAAAATTTTTGGATAAATATTTGATGGAAATGTAAGTGTCCCATCACTTATGTGAGCCATTTTTTGCTCCGTTCTAAACAATTGTATTTTTATTAAATTAATATTTTAATATTTTGAGAAAATGTATGTTATGTAATAATTGTTACTAAATTTAAGTATGAAACACACCCACAAAAAATGTTTACATGTTTTTTTTAATTTATTTTAGTACAGTTTCCTTTTGTAAAGGACAAGTGTCCCATCACTTTTGTGAGACACTGTATATATACTCAAAATGTTTGATAATGAAATTGCCCTATAATGAAACCTGTAGAAACATTAGGTATTTTTTTGGAAGCAGACAAGTTGAAAAATTAGCAACGCCTTCGCCAGGAATCGAACCATGGACCTCTGGAATACCGGCCCAGCGTGCAGAACCACTACACCACGAAGGCACGCTAAGAAGGTGGGAGAAATACCTTATATAATCCTCCTTGTAAAGGGCGACTGAGGTTTTTAGGGTAACCAACCGCCAAATCCTGGGTAGGGAGAAATCCTCATGCACCACCCTTTTGGTTCGGGCGCCACTGTAGAGACATTAGGTTAATTGAAAAAGCCGGAGAGATAGAAAATAGCAAACGTCTTCGCCGGGACTCGAACCACGGACCTCTGGAATACCGGCCCAGTGGGCAGACCTCCACACCAGAAAGGCATGCCGAGAAGGTGGGAGAAATACCTTATAAACCTATATCAAAATTTATTATTATTATTATTGTTGTTAGCGAAATATGCGATGCGTACCTATTTTTATCTTTTGACCACATATTCTAGTTATTTTTATTATTAGCGGTATTTACGTATTATTCTGTTTACCGGGCAAGTAGCATGATTTAGCGCCGATTATGGATGACTCACTTCCTTTTAGACTTCCGCAGTAACGATTCGTAATTAGCGACCGTTGCTGAAATTTCCGTCAACGGTCGACGGGATAATACGTAAGTACCTAGTTTACTTTACGTTTTGAAAATATCTACAGTAGTACAGGAAATTTACTTTAATGAAACATTTGCTTTGCATGGCCGACGATATTTATCAGTGATTTGTAGAACATAGAAAGGACTAACATTTAAGGATATCTATGTTTTCCGGAAATATTTCTAAATGGCATTTTAAATATCTCATTCTGTAGTTATATAGCTGGTCTCGATATTGTTCTATCTGCATTACTGTTAAGAAAGATAATTTGAATAAAGTAACCGGGGATTATTAACCTATCACTTGTTCATAAACACTAAACAAATTTCACATATTGTAACGCTAAAAACATATCTA